GGTTTTCTCACCTGCTCACACCCACTACAGAAGGAGCCTTTATGCTGAGAGAAAGTGCAGAGCCCTGGAAAGATGGGAGTTCAAGTGCACCTGGGTAGGTGGAGGAGACTCGGTGATTTCTTTCTGCAGTTGTAATAGTGGTTTCTTCAGGTGCAGATGTATGCTTAAGTGTTGCGTCCATAATGTTGGCGCATTCAGTGTAATTTGTGCACAGGAAAGTCTATGGAGGTTGGTGTTCTGTCTCCTTGACAAAGGGTTTATGAATTTGGGAGTTCATTTGGATCGGAACCTGCTGAGAAATTCCTCACTTGTGAGAATGGAAGCCTGGGAGAGGAAGGGCTCGCACGTGGCCAGGCAAGAGAAGAGTATGTGCAGCTGCCAGAGTTTATTTTGGGTCCCTACCCTTCTTCACCAGGGACTGACTCACTTCTAGGGGTTCTATCTCAGTTGGGAGTGTCTGGACCACAATTTTAAGAATATATTTAACTTTCTGAATGTGGATTTTCGTTTTGAACGGTAGGGAAGCAGTGTGCTTATCTCAGCTGATTCAAATATTTGCTTTTCTTTCCTTTGGATTCCTTTCTCTCTTGAATATTGTGGTCCTGTAATTCTTTTCCTTAGTAGTTCCCACATAACCCCTCTGCATCCACACAGTTTGCACTGTTTTATACATCTTGTATTACCACAGTACATTTTTTTTTTTTTTTTTTTTTTGCCGGGGCATGAACCCGTGTTCCCTGCATTGGCAGGCAGACTCTCAACCACTGTGCCACCAGGGAAGCCCTGTTGGAAATTTTTTTTTTTTTTTCCGGTATGCGGGCCTCTCACTGTCGTGGCCTCTCCCATTGCGGAGCACAGGCTCCGGACGCGCAGGCTCAGCGGCCATGGCTCACGGGCCCAGCCGCTCCGCGGCATGTGGGATCTTCCCGGGCTGGGGCACGAACTGGTGTCCCCTGCATCGGCAGGCCGACTCTCAACCACTGCGCCACCAGGGAAGCCCCACCACAGTACATTTATAACAATTACTGAACCAATAGTGATGCACTAAAGTCCACAGTTTTTATTATCAATGACTCTTTGTGTTACAGGATCTATAGGTTTTGGTAAATGTTTATTGAAACGTATCCATCATTTCTCTATCCTGTAGAGTAGTTTCAGTTCCCTCAAAGTCCCTTATGCTTCATCTATTCATTCATCTCTCCCTTCAACCCCCAAATCCTTCAGAACCAAAGATCTTTTTCTGGCTCATAATAATGTCTTTTCCGGAATGTCATATACTTGGAATCTTGTGTTGCCTTGTCAGATTGGCTTCACTTAGCAATGTACTTTTAAGATTCCTTCATGTGTTTTCATGGCTTGATACCTCATTTCATTTTTTCACTGAACAATATTTCATCTTATTACAGTGGGAATGACACTGATTTTTTATACATTCGACTCTTGAAGGACATCATGCTTAACTCTAACTCTTGCCCATTATGAATAAAACACCTAGAAACATTCATGTGTAGGCTTTTGTGTGTACTTAAGGTTTCCACTAATTTAGGTCTCTACCAAGCAATGTGATTGCTGGATCTTACTATATGTATAAGAGTATATTAAGTATTGATGGAAAATTCTTATCTTCCAATATAGGCATACCAAATTTCATTCCCACCACCAAGGAATGAGGATTACCAGAAGCTTCACATCTTCACTAATATCTGGTGTTCTGAGTGTTTTGAATTTAGCCATTTAATAAGTGTCTAGTGACATATCATTGTTGTTTTTATTGTAATTTCCCATAGAGACATTTGTTGAGCATGTTTTCATATTGCTTATTTCCCATCTATATATCTTGTTTGGTGTGGTGTCTGTTCAGATCTTTTTCCCATTTTTAATTGAGTTGTTTGTCTTCTTACTGTTGAGTTTTAAGAATTATATATATATATATATATTTTGTTGTTGTTTGGGGGTTTTTAAAAAATTATTTGGTTGCACTGGGTCTTAGTTGCAGCTCGTGGGCTCCTTAGTTGTGGCACATGGGCTTCTTAGTTGTGGTTCCAGTGCTCCTTAGTTGCGGTACACGGGCTCCTTAGTTGTGGCATGCGAACTCTTAATTGTGGCATGCGAACTCTTAATTGTGGCATGCATTTGGGATCTAGTGCCCTGACCAGGGATCGAAGTCAGGCCCCCTGCATTGGGAGCACAGAGTCTTATCCACTGCACCACCAGGGAAGTTCCCAAGAATTCTATGTATATTCTGGATACCAGTCATTTATCAGATATGTGTGTTACAAAGACATTCTCCTAGTCTGTGACTTGTCTTTTCATTCTGTTAACACTTTCCCAGCACAGGAATTTTTCTTTTAATAAAGTGAGACTTACCATTTTTTCCCTTCATGGTTTGTTTGTTTGTTTTTGGTGTTGTATCTAAGTATGATGTTAGCTGCAGGTGTCCTGTAGATATTTTTCTCAAGGACAGAGAGTTCCCTTCTATTATTAGTTTGTTACCATAAATGGATGTTGAATTGTATCAAATCTTATGTTCATTTCCCCCCTCCTTTCATTTCTGAAATAATTTTGTTTTGCCTTCTCTGTTATGTCGACTAGATGTCAATCAATTTTATTATAATTAATATTTTCTGCGGACCAGCTTTTGTTTTTGAAAAGTAGAAGAGTAGTTTTTTCTTTCAAAAATTTAAATATTTCACTCTGCTCTCTTCCTGCTTGCATGGTTTCTGAAAAGAAATCTGATTTAATTCTAATCGCTTTTCTCTATAAGTAAGGTGGGTTTCCCCTCTGGCTTTTTTTCACTGTATTCTCTTTCTCTTTGATTTTTCTCTAGTTAGAATATGATATATTTGGTATGCATTTTTTTTTTTTTTTTTTTTTTTTTTTGCCGTACGCGGGCCTCTCACTGTTGTGACCTCTCCTGTTGCGGAGCACAGGCTCCTGATGCTCAGGCTCCAGACGCTCAGGCTCCGGACGCGCAGGCTCAGAGGCCATGGCTCACGGGCCTAGCTGCTCTGCAGCATGTGGGATCTTCCTGGACCGGGGCACGAACCCGTGTCCACTGCATCGGCAGGTGGACTCTCAACCACTGCACCACTAGGGAAGCCCTTGGTATGCATTTTTTACGTTTAGTGTTCTTTAAGCTTTTTGGATCTACAGCATGCCATTTATGATTAATTTTAGGAAAATCTCAATGATTATTACTTCATTTTTTCTGTTCCTTTCTGTGTATCTTTTTTTTCCCCAGATATTCCCATTTTGTGTATTTTAAACCTGTCATTGCTGTACAGTTCATGGATATTGTGTTCTGTCTTGTTTGTTTTGTTTTTGTTTTTTTGGCTTTGTGTTAGCCTCTGGTGAAATATATTGTTTTCAGTACAGGCCTTGTTAAGAGCAGAGTATTTGGTATTTATTATTATTATTATTATTACTCTTTTTTGATGTGGACATTTTTTAAAGTCTTTATTGAATTTTGACGATATTATTTCTATTTTTATGTTTTGGTATTTTGGCCGCGAGGCATATGGGATCTTAGCTCCCCAACCAGGGATCAAACCCGCACCCCCTACATTGGAAGGCAAAGTCTTAACCACTGGACCACCAGGGAAGTCCCTGGTGCTTATTTTTACATGCCTTCTTTATTTCTTCTTTCCCAGTTTTAGAGAGAGTGTTTTGCCTGTGACCTCAATGCTCTGATGGGTCTAAGAAGACTTGTTCAAGTTTTTTTCATTTTTTTCCTCTGAGGCCAGGAATGATGACTTCTAAGTTCCTTAAATGCCAGATTAGAACCTGTAAGTCTCTGTCTTCAATTTTTGATGATTGCTGACTGCTTTAAAACCTCATTCATCCTTTTTACACTTTTACCCACATCTATACAAAGTGATCAGAAAGCCTTAGTCCTTCTTCCATTGGCAGTGGCAAGAGATTCAATCCTCTTAAGATCCTGTTCTTGTGTGTGAACCCTCATCCTAACCCAGCCCCTAACTTCAGTTTTTAAAAAGTCCAATTACCTTTCCTTGCTTGTGAAGCCATTTCTTGAAAGCTCTGGAGAGGCCTGCCTTACTTTTCTCAGATACCTCAATTATTTAGGTAATAAAACCTTTCATACACTATTGGCAATGTGTGCTGTCATCAGCAAAGGGATTCCTATCCCCAGGGATCAAGCTGTCATGTTCCTTTAAACCTCGTGGGAGCTTGGAAATTAGAGAAGTTGGCAGGGCAGCCTCTAGAGGGGCTGGTCAGGAAATAACTTCCTCCTGCAATTTGAAAATGGAGATTTTATGTTCTTTAGGAGGAAAGCACTGTTGAATCCTTTGTGTATTTCATACTTTTGAGCAGATTCACCATCAAACCCTTGTGATTTTCAGTGAATGCACTTGCAATCTACAACTCTTAATCTGTTCCTCAAGGTTAGAAAGCCACAGGGCACTGTGTTCTAGATCTGCCATAAAGAGCTCTTCTGGCATATTATCTCACTCTGTGTGCCTATGTATGCTTCTTAAGCAGCCCTGAGGCACATGACTATAGGAATTTTGTGGTCTGTTTCATGCTATCTTTCTACTGTCTGCGCCAATTAACTGTAAGTGCCAATTAACTTTCTAGTGCATGAGATCAAATAAAGAGAAAGGAAAAACTGAGTCTGTGGTAAATATTACACAAGTTAACAGCACTATTTCCCCACAAGAATATTTTTTTTCTGTCATGTACATCTGACTACTTATAAAGGCCTGGATTACTTTACGGCCAAATTGGCCAGCTGGATCCTATTAAAAGTTTTACAGTTTTCTTGGACTCTTGTTTGGTGTTGGGAATAGAATAAAAAGGTTCCAGTTCAGCACTATGTTCTTATTCATAAAAGTTTGTGCAGATTTGACCCTCTGCCTCATAAGTGCTATAAATGGTACGTAAAAAGGAAGGAGATGAAAGAGTTTTTCCTCACAAGGTATTGATGGTCTTAAAATGGTAACATTTGTTTCATTTGTATATCATGTATGTCATTTCCCAACATGTTCTGGACCCTGCTGTTAGTGAGAAATGAGATGTAATGTCATCAGAGTAAATATTTCCATGTTCATTATGCTGCTAAATTTGTGAGGAAGTAGAGACAGAGTAAGTTCCTGATGATCAAGTCATAGAATAAATGTTTGGATATGACAGAATCATATATAACCTTCATATAAATAGTGTATATGGCTTCCCTGGTGGCACAGCAGTTAAGAAACTGCCTGCCAATTCAGGGGACATGGGTTCGATCCCTGGCCCAGGAAGATCCCACGTGCCACGGAGCAACTAAGCCCATGTGCCACAACTACTGAGCCTGCGCTCTGGAGCCCGCGTGCCACAACTACTGAAGCCCGTGCGCCTAGAGCCTGTGCTCTGCAACAAGAGAAGCCACCACAATGGGAAGCCTGTGCACTGCAATGAAGAGTAGCCCCTGCTTGCTGCAACTAGAGGAAGACCCAAAGCAGCCAAAAATAAACACAAAACAAAACGAAACAAAAATGGTATATAGATGTCTAGTCCTGTCAGTGTCATTCATCCTGCTATACACATATTTGGGGTATTTTAGGACTCAGTAGCCATTGAAGATGTGGCTGTGAATTTCACCCTGGAGGAGTGGGCTTTACTGAATCCTTCACAGAAGAAACTCTACAGAGATGTGATGCGGGAAACCTTCAGAAACCTGGCCTCAGTAGGTAAGGGTGACAGCTTTCCTTTACTTTGTCAATTAGGGAACAAATGTTTCTTGTTCATTGATGGTCTTCTAAGATGTCCTATGTGGAAGGGAGGATGTTGGTATATAAACTAGGCCTGGTCACAGCCAACAATGAATATAGAATCTAATAATTGTTCTGTAATTTCTAATATTTTGGAATCATTTTTCTGCATCTGCAATTTAGGGAAAAAATGGGAGGATCATGACATTGAAGATCAGTACAAAAACCAGGGGAGAAAACTGAGGTAAGTCACACTCACAACAGAAAGTAGTGCCTTATATGAGCATCCTGGTATGTGATGAAATTTTAAAAGAAGGGACCTAAACACATAATGCCTGCTTCACATTTATTTATTCTCAGAAAAACTTTCCCCCAAATACTTTCTAATATGTGACATAGATATTTAGTGTTTGGAAAATAGTTCTCTTGGAAACAGTATTAACAAGCCCTATATGTGAATATCGGTGTTTTGATAATTCCAAGAGTGAAGTCTTCTTGCAGGGCATTTCTTATATTCAATCAAAAACAATTCAGACAAGGGAGATAACCTACACTTTTGCTATAGATCATAAAAATGTAGTTCAAATATCCTACTAATAAATATTAAATTGTTGGTAAAGAAATCATTACTAACATGATTCTCATTTTTTACAGAAGTCATGTTGTAGAGAGACTCTGTGAAAGTAAAGAGGGTAGTCAATGTGCAGGAAACTTCAGCCTTATTCCAAAACTCAGTCTGAAGAAGAAAACTACTGGAGTGAAACTACATGAATGCAGTGCATGTGGAAAAGTCTTTATGCATCATTCATCCCTTAATAGGCATATCAACTGTCATAGTGGGCACAAACTGTATGAGTATCAGAAATATGAAGAGAAGCCATATAAATGTAAGGAATGTGGTAAAGCCTTCAGTTATCTTCAGTGTTTTGAAAAACATGAAAGAAAACACAGTGGACAGGAGAACTATAAATGTAAGGAATGTGGGAAAACTTTTCGTTTTCGCACATCCTTTCAAACACATAAAAGGATTCATACAGGAGAAAAGCCCTATGAATGTAAAGAATGTGGGAAATCCTTTATGTGGCTTACAACCTTTCAAAGACACATGATAACGCACACTGGAGATACTCCTTATAAATGTAAGGAATGTGGGAAACCCTTTAAGTGGCTTACAACCTTTCGGAGACACATGATAACACACACTGGAGATGCTCCTTATAAATGTAAGGAATGTGGGAAAGTCTTTACTTTTTTAAGTGCACTACAAATACATGAAAAAACCCACATGGGAGAGAAACCTTATCAATGTAAACAATGTGGAAAAGCCTTTAGATATCGTCGAACTTTTCAAACGCATGAGAGGACTCACACAGGAGAGAAACCCTATGAATGTAAGCAATGTGGTAAAGCTTTTATTTCCCGTGTAGGATTACAAAACCATGAAAGAAATCACAATGGAAAGAAATTCTATGAATGTAAAAGATGTAGTAAAGCATTCAGTTATTCCAGTTCTCTTCGAAAACATGAAAGAAATCACACTGGAGAGAAACCCCATGAATGTAAGGAATGTGGAAAAGGTTTTATTTTTCTCTCAAGCCTTCGGGCACACATGATAAGTCACTCTGGAGATGGACCTTATAAATGTAAGGAATGTGAGAAAGCATTCATTACTCCCAGTTCATTTCAAATACATGTAAGGACTCACACAGGAGAGAAGCCTTATAAATGTAAACAATGTGGGAAAACTTTCAATTGGCCCACTTCCATTCGCAGACATGAAAAAAGTCATAGTGGAGAGAAACCCTATGAGTGTAGGCAATGTGGTAAAGCCTTCAGTTGTCCCAGATCCTTTCAAAGCCATGAAAGGAGACACAGTGGAGAAAAGCCTTATGAATGTAAAAAATGTGGTAAAGCCTTCAGTTGTCCAAATTCCTGTCGAAAACATGAAAGAAGTCATGGTGGAGACAAACGTTATGAATGTAAAGAATGTGAGAAAGCCTTCAGTTCTGTCATCAGATTTCAAAGACACGTGATGAAGCACACTGGAGATGGACCTTATAAATGTAAGGAGTGTGGGAAAGTCTTTGATTGTCCCAATTACTTTCGAAGTCATGAAAGGATTCACAGTGTAGAAAAGCCCTATGAATGTAAGGAATGTTGTAAAGCCTTCAGTACTCCTAGGTCCCTTCGAAGACATGAAAGAACTCATACTGGAGAGAAACCTCATGCATGTAAGGAATGTGGTAAAGCCTTCAGTTATCCCAGTTTCCTTCAAAAACATGAAAGAAGTCATACTAGGGAGAAACCCTATCAATGTAAACAATGTGGTAAAGCCGTCAGTTATCTCAGTTCCCTTCAAAGTCATGAAAGAACTCATAGTGGAGAGAAACGCTATGAGTGTAAGGAATGTGGGAAAGCATTCATTTTTCTCTCAAAATTTCATTTACACATGATAAAGCATACTGGAGTTGGACCTTATACATGTAAGAAATGTGGGAAAGCCTTCGATTGTCCCAGTTCATTACAAAACCATGAAAGAACTCACACTGGAGAGAAACCGTATGAATGTAAGAATTGTAGTAAAGCCTTCAGTCATCTCCGTTCTTTACGAAACCATGAAGGAACTCATACTGGAGAGTAGCGCTATGAATGTAAGAAAGTTGGAAAGCCTTCAATTTTGTCACTAAATTTTCAAGACGTGGTGAAGCACACTGGAGATGGACCTAATAGTGTAAGGAATGTGGGAAGGCCTTCGATATTTTTCAGTTCATTATGAAATCATGAAAGAACTCACATTGGAGAGAAACCACACGAATGTGAAAATTATAGGAAAGCCTTCGATTGTCCCAGTTCTGTTCAAAACCATGAAAACACTCATAATGGAAAGTAGGCCTATGAATGTCAGGAATGTAAGAGAACCTTCAGTTGTCCCCGTTCATTCTGAATACAAAAAAAGAATTCACACTGGAGAGAAACCCTGTGAATGCAAACTGTATGGTAAAGCCCTCAGCAATTCCTATTATGTTCAAATATGTGAAAGAACTCTTACCAGAAACTGAATGTAAGGAATATTGGAAAGCCTTTATCACACAACATTTTAAGGACACAAGATGGTGCACACCATGTAAGCATGAGGAATTGGGGAAGTTTTCAGTCCCATTTTCTTGGGAAAGAACTCTCTCTAGAGATAATTCTGTTAAATATAAACAATATATGAAAACCTTCATTTGCCCTACATCCTTACAAAACCGTGTGAGAATGTACACTGGATAGATACCAAGTAACTGAAAAGTAAAACAAACTATTCAGTTGAAACAAATATTTTTGTAGTCATGTGAAAACTGCACTGGAAAAAACTCATGTTAATGTAAGTAATATGGGTAAGCCTGGTACAAATTAATTCATGTAGAATACTCAAAGTTACAGTATGGAAGAAGTGTTATAAACTTTAAACATATATTGTTCTTATCAGTGGCACATTCTTAAAGTTATTATCTGTAGTACGGAGTAGTACTTCCTTTTGCAAGTAAATATTGAGGTAAGATAATTCTGTAGGTACTCTTTAGGCAATTGTTCCTAAGTTTAATAGGTAATTTTATGCTTTACTCAGTAAAATTTTTGTTTTTATTTTGAAGACTCTTTGATCCATGGGTGAATTGAAGTGCATTTCTAATATGTAAGTGGGGTTAATTTTTATATAATATTCTTCTGCAAATAAGGGAACACTGAAAAAATGACACTTTGGTACTTGTTTGTTTATTGTACTGGCCTGCTGCGGCAAGTACTCAACATCCCTTATACATTATATACATATTCCACTTTTACTTCTTAAGAGAAAACTCACTTTTCATTGGCCCGAAGAGCTTTATTCCATTTCTTTGCTAACAATGAGTTGGCATATATTTGTAAGTATGCAAAGTTCATCATATACTCTCATGTGAATTCTTGTTTTCATCTTTTGTCCTTTGTTATTTGTCATTCCTTCTGGCTGGGATTTGGGCTATGGAATTTGCATTAAGAGAGACCTGTGAGGGCTTCCCTGGTGGCACAGTGGTTGAGGGGCCACCTGCCGATGCAGGGGACACGGGTTCGTGCCCCAGTCCGGGAGGGTCTCACATGCCACGGAGCAGCTGGGCCCATGAGCCATGGCCGCTGGGCCTGCGTGTTCGGGGCCTGTGCTCCGCTACGGGAGAGGCCACAGCAGTGAGAGGCCCACATACCAAAAAAAAAAAAAAGAGAGAGAGAGACCTGTGAGAGGACAATAAAATGTAGAGTTGGAGATGACCCTTTTTGACTCTGTTATGTCAATGTGAGTAATGTTGTGAATTACATTTTCTAGACTCTGTTGCTTTTATGGCCCCATATTAGAATTCACCAAAACCTAATTTACAGGTAACTTGAAATGCAGATGTGAAATAGGATTAGGTAGATTTTGGAGCCACTTGTACGGAAAGAGATACACAAGAAGCATAGGGCCTTTGCAGACACTTGCTTCCAGCTCATTTTCCTCATTTTTTGCTCTGCCAGTCAGGAATATCCTCAAAACTGAAGAGTCCAAGATGGTGGAGTAGGAAGACCCTGAGCTCACCTCCTCCCATGGGCACATCAAACTTACAACTGTTTACCAAGCAACTATTGATGAGAAAGACCTCAACACTAGCAGAAAAGATCTTCTACAAGTAAAGATAGGGAGAAGGACCCACAACAAGACCAGTAGGAAGTGTGGAGAAATGTTACAGTCAAGACCCATTACCCACAAACAGGAGGATAATTACAATAGCAGAAGTTGTCCCAAGGAGCAAGGGGGTCCAAACCCCACATCTTGCTCCCCAGCCTAAGGGCCCTGCACTGGAAAGACAAGCCCCCAGAACATTTGGCTTTGAAGACCAGCAGGGTTTACTTTCAGGATAGTCAGAGGGCTGTAGGAAATAGAGACTGCACTCTTCAGGGATGCACATAACATCTCATGTGCTCCAAAATCCAGGGCAAAAGCAGTAATTTGAAAGGAGCCTAGGTTTGACCCACCTGCTGATCTTGGAGAGACTCCTGGAGAAGCAGGAGGCAACTGGTGTTTACTCTTGGGACATAAACACTGTGACAGCCCTTTTGGGGAGCTCATTCTACCACAAGGATACTGGTGCTGACAAGTATGGTTTTGGAATTTTCCTTCTAGCTTATTAGCACAAGAGACCTGCACTACCCACCAGCCTGTCGGCACCAGTATTGGGATACCTCAGGCCAAGCAGCTAGCCAGGTGGGAATGCAGTCCCACCCACCATATGGCCAGCTGCCTTAAGACACATTGAGCCCCCAGTTGCCCTGGCACTGGCTCTGGGACCCCTGAGGCCCCACAGCCAGCTCTTGGGGCCCAACCCAATATACCAGTGGGCCTACACCAGGATCCAGCCCCACTCACCAGTGGGCCAGTACCAGCTTTGGGACACCCCAGACCTTGTAGCTATCTGTGACAGAAATAAGCCCTGCTCACCAGTGGGCTGACACCAACTCTGAGACCCCCAGCTTACTGCAGCCAAAGACCTCAGGATCTGGCTCCACCCACCAATGAGCTGGCATTAACCCCAGCACCCCCTGGGCCTCAGCCCCACCTACCAGCTTTAAGACACCTTGGACCCTTCAGCCAGCCACCCTGGGATTTGGCCCCAGTCACCACCAGGCTGACAGTAGATTCGGGTGTCCTGGGCCCATGATCTCCCACCCTGGAAACTAGCTCCACCCACCAGTGGGCCAGCACTGGCCCTCGGACCCCCTGGGGCTCTATAGCCAACCATCTCATGTCCTGACCCTACCTACCAACAGTCAGCAACCTCCCCACAAGACAGGACCTAGCAACCAACTGGACCAAGGGGCAGCCACACCTAGTCAGCCTGCTACATGAGAAGGACCCACATAGGGGGCACACCTAGAGCATATACCTCTGGTGTCTAGAGGAGAGAGCACTGCTGGCACACATAGGACGTTTCCTACAAAAGGCCACTTCTCCAACGTCTAGGAAACAAGCAATGTGCCAAATACATAAAAATTTAAAAAGCAAATTAGGCAAAGTGAGGTGACAGGAATATATTCCAAACAAGGAACAAGATAAAACCCCAGAAGTAGAACTAAGGAAGCAGAAATAAGCAATCTGCTTGTTCAAGGTAATGATCATAAAGATGCTCAAAGAACTTGGGAGAAGAATGGGTGAACAGAGTGAGAAATTAGTCATTTTTAACAAAAATTTAAAAAATACAAAGAACCAAACAGTTGAAAAATACAATAAGTGATATTTTTAAATACTCTAGAAAGAATCATTTGTAAATTAGATGATACAGAGGAATGAATCAGCAAACTGGAAGACAGAGTAGTGGAAATCAATCTGAACAGAAAATAAAGAAAAAGAATTTTTTTTTTAATGACAGTTTAAGAGACTTCTGAGACAACAAGAAGCATACTAACATTCTCATTATAGGAGTCCCAGAAAGAAAGGAGAGAAAATGGGCAGAAAACATATTTGAAGACATAATAGCCAAGAACTTCTGTAACCTGGTAAGGAAAAAGACATCCAGGTTCAGGAACTACAGTCCCAAAAGGACCAATCTAATCCATATATATATATATTATTGTATATATTTATATTATAATATATCATGGAATATTACTCAACCATAAAAAAGAATGAAATGTTGCCATTTGCAACATTGTGCATGGGCCTAGAAGGTATTATCCTAAGGGAAATAAGTCTGACAGAGAAAGACAAATACTGTATAATTTCACTTACTTTTGGAATCTAAAAAACAAATGAACAAACATAGCAAAACAGAAACAGAGTTACAGATACTGTGTCAAACAGGTAGTTGGCAGAGGGAGAAGAGGTAGAGGAGGAAGGAAATAGGTGAGGGAGATTAAGAGGTGCAAACTTGCAGTTGCAAAATGAGTCACAGGTATGAAGTGTAAGGTGTGGGAAATATAGTCAATAATTATATCTTTGTATGGTGAGAGATTGTAACTAAACTTATTGATCATATTGAAATGTATAGGAATATTGAAACACCATGTTGTGTAACAGGAACTAACAGTGTTGTAGGTCATTTATATTTCAAAAACAAACTCATAAAGAGATCAGATTTGTGATTACCAGAGGCAAGGTGTGGGGGGAAGGGGAAACTGAAGGAAGGCAGTCAAAAGGTACACACTTTATGTTATAAGATAATTAGTACTAGGGATGTAATGTACAACATGAGAAAGTTGTTAGAGTAAATCCTAAGAGTTCTCATCAAAAGGAAAATAATATTTTCTATTTCTTTAAAATTTTGTATCTATATGAAGTGAAGGATGTTCACTAACCTTATTGTGATAATCTTTTCATGATGTATATAAGTTAAATCATACTGTACACTTTAAATTTATACACTGCTATATGTCAGTTATTTCTCAATAAAACTGGAAAAAAAGAGAATATCCTCAAAACCACCACAGACTGTTTGACTTCCATTTGATCAGAGCTGTAGGCTTCCACAGTGTTTTCCAGAGTTCAACATGGAAGATTCAGCACAGTTTGGATTTTCTTGCAAGCCCACTCTGTCCATCTGGCAAGAAATTTAGACTGTCGTGGTTGAGGATATCCTCTGAACACTGTTCTCTAGA